TTTAGTAGTTTCTGGTTTGATTTCTTTTGGCTTCTTTAACTTCTTTTGAATGAAACGTTGAGGCTTTCTTGGCTGTGAATGGTTCAATTCATACAATGATGGATGAATGAATAAAGGATGGATGGCGGGACAGACGGATGAATGTGTGGGAAGACAAATGAATGAAAGGATGGATGAATAGTGTGACAGACTCATGAATAGATGGGTGAAAGAGAAAACTATCATATGATAGTCGTAACGTGAAGAAAAAATTCCACTTGATGACGATAAGCATTGGTAAAGAGTAGCATTCAAAAGAAAACTCAATCTACCTTCGACTTCTCTTTCATGAACGATACGTGTTTATCAACGTTTTTCGTAGGATCCATGTTAAAACATGTAGTCGACAAAACTTTGATAAACGAAACAATTGAATACAGCGCGCGCATTGTCGTCACACAAACCCAAACGAAAGGACGTCATTGCGCACGCGCAACACATTATACACAGGTAGCCCGAGACGTCCTATTCTGCAGATATAATACAAAATGCATACCTTGATTGGTTTAGGTTCGCTTGGTTGATACGTCTGACGTTTGACTGGAGCTGCGTAACTGGGCCCTCCGTAAGAATTCCGTAGCGACTTGGAATCGATACGTACGTTGGAGAGTCTACCGCCATCTCTCTTGAAAGACGGCAATGTGACAGTCTTTTTTCCTTTTATGTTCGATGGGATTTGACATTTTTCACATGGTTCTTCTTTATCTTCTTCTTTAACTGTGTCTTTAAATGAAAAATGCAATCAACCAATCAACTGATCAATCAATCAATCAATCAATCAATCGACCGATCGAAGCGATCAATCAATCAATCAATTAATCAGCTAATCAGTCAATCAATCAATCAATCAATCATTCAACTAACCTTCAGGTTCAGGTTCGCTTTCATCCTCAGACGATTCTTCCTAAGAAATTCATAGAAATATAAGACATAAGTATTAATGCTTACAATCCTCATTGTAGACATTGTCAGGTAGGACTAACACTTACTGGGGGTGGGGTAGAGGGAGGAGTTGGCTCCGGCGAGGGTGTTCTTGGAGGGGTGGATACAGGAGAATCACCAAAGTTTGGCAGTTGCCATATGTCGTTCTTTGGAAGCTGAATGTCGCTCGATGYTCTTSGYCCYACCACAGGACCGCTGACCACTGATGCTCGTGGYGTCGAGTGGGGTGAGAARTAGACTTCGGTTGGAGCTAATGACAACGCGTCCGTCATGGAACTCAACGACTRTGAAATTGGAAATRGAAAAAGTGTCACACTTTGATACATGAACACAKCATTAACTTGTGCCACTGGGAAATATAGGAAGGGAGGAAGGAAGGGAGGGAGGGAAGTTTTACCTCTATTTCATCTTGCTGATCTTCATCTTGCAGTTCAGGGGGAGGCTGGTCTTCCATAAAGAACGAYGTCTTGAGTTGCAAGTTTGGAAAGGGAACCTGTGAATTCATTTCAGAAAGAAATATAATTGATAAAAAATATGATTTGGATAAAATTAATAATCAGTGCCGTATACTATATGTACTGGCACGAGCACAAACAAGCAGAAAACAGACAATAATAACGAAAAAAAAAACAACACAAAAACATTTTAATTTAGAAAGTCAAAAAAATCAAACATTCAAATAAATGGCATACTATACCAAATAGTTTTCCATATTTGTTGGATCAGGCTGTAGTATCTTTCTGCCTTCGTATCTGACAGACGGATCTTCATAGATATCAGACTCTGTAAGAACCAACATATTTCATCTCATAACTCGATATTATTGATAAACAGTACTTTAGACGGATCTTCATAGATATCAGACTCTGTAAGAACCAACATACTTCATCTCATAACACGATATTATTGATAAACAGTACTTGTAAGTGCAAAACAAAGTTGGATAAGCACGTTCAGCTACTTTATCATGCTTTAATCATCAACATATTGACTTAGTTTCCGTCGAGTACATCCAACATAGCTGGCATCACCACTTTCAGCTCAATACCAGTTATATCGGTGACACCAGAAGACATCAACAACAACATCAGGGCCGTTAACAGATATAGTGTTTTCATTGCTAAAACAGTCGAATATGTAACTTAAATCCGTGAAACAAAAAGTACGAATTACTACTAAATTCATAGTTCCGACAAATAAAACGCGTCATTTGCGAGCGCGGGATTGGCCAATCAGATTTGAGAATAGAGGACACGTAATGGCAGCCATGCTGATTACCCAATACGAATAATCTCGCAATGCTTTTTTACTCTGTTTAAAAACCAATTAAAGTGAGTCTCTGTAYGTTGTCCATATGTCGATTTGATGAGAAACCAATTATCAAAGATACAGACAAAAAAACAGCCGTCCGACGCCAGATCTAAGTGCTCTGTACTAACCAGTCTCATATGTTTCATCRTCTTCGACTTTGTCGTCGTTCGTTCCAGGCATCGAGTTAACAGGATACACTAAATACATTAAAAAAACACACTAAACATTCTGCTTTCGATTGTATAAAAACGCTCGACATTCGATATCGACATTCGATTTCTTAAAGCAACACTCGACATCGATTTTCCACGTTCGATTTCTCGACACTCGACCTCACCTTTTCGTCGAGATATGAAAAAGATGTGCTGATTAAAACCAACGATGACGTCACCTAGCATTTAAACGCAGATACATTAGTAACGAAATGAGAGTGTTCTTAAAGTTCAAGTGATCTTCAGCGGCATACAAGAGGTTTACTGCATGAACCGAACTAAAGTAAACTCTCTAAAACACAATAATTCTCACATATAAATTACTAAGGCGAAGAAATCAGTAAAGACCAACGCCGCTGCCCGGTGGGACTCCCATATAAAAAAGGGCGGGGGTCCTTGTCAGAAATTCTGAAAATAACGCTGAAAGGGACCTGTATTGTGAGATGATGGGCGTGGCAGTGCTGAAATTTCACCGCTAAGAGGGACCAATCAATAAACGGTTATTTTGTTTTGGTTTCCCGATTTTATTTGTGTTTTTGCACAAGCATCAAACGCCGTTGGCTCGTATTGAGWTTATGACGACTTTGTCATATACAAATATATGATGACGGCTTAGGGTCGTCGTATACCCTAAAAGGGACCACAAAACTTGGTGGTTGGTTATATTAAGGAGTCGCCACCCCCAGGCGCCGCTGACAGCACGAATACTCTTCTAAAAAAAGGATTTCAGGTTTTTTGCGCCGTAGTTTTTCTTTTTTTAGCCCTTTAATTACTATCTTACCTCCATGATTTAAGAAACAAGCTGCCGTCAGGGTATTGTCCAGAAGTATTTCTCGGAGTAGAGTCTTGTTCTTGTCCCAAATGCGTAGAAAGCCATCCGTACTAGAGATAAAGACGAGACTCAACTACTTTAATTCCTGAAAGTTTGTAAAGTGAAAAGGAAGATCACACATACCTTGAACTACAAAATATTTCTAAAACAGAATTGGCATCAACACTTCTAACGGAACTTTGATGGTCCAGATTTCGTTTACCTTCTGCRGGATTGGTTCCTGGAAAAGSAAAGAMACACTTCAACAACAACAAAGGCAACGGTAACAAAGCAATTACGAGGACGACAGCAAGGCAAGAGATCAAAAATCACATGAACAAACAGACAAACACGAGTTTGCACAACTCTACTACTACTTCTGTGCGAAAATCAGAATGAGACAGCAGAACGCACGAAGCACTGCGATCGCTGGAATTATTTTCGGACTTCCTGTGGAAAATTATGATGAACCTGGCCTGATTCTTTTCCAAAGGAATCCCAAATGGTTAAATCTTACCTATTTGTTCAGTTGTATCAGATGCATCGAGTTTATGCAGTACAAGCAAACCACTTTCATGTCCACACAGAAATAAGTCGTCCTGCAAGAAACAAGAGCCATAAATAAGCGAATGAAACAATTACGAACGGTGCTTGCTGTGCTAAAACTTGAAGACTGTGAAAATCCAGACTTGCTGGCGATCAGTCTTCTTCGGCCTTTTTCACCTGTTTATACGACTTACAAGGTGCATGTGAGTTGTATGTGCGCACAGGTTTATTCATGTGAGGTTTCATTCAAGACTGCATTTTGCTACTAGTTAAGACATAAACGCTTGTAAGTAATCAACTCAAAGTATCTCGGTATGGATATTCAATACAAATTGTCCTATATATATTTCTTGCTTATACAAACTTAATATTGAAGAATAATTTTTCATAGTGCTCCACTTAAAGGAGCAATTTTTTAGCTCAGTATTTTATGTATTTCTTGCTTATAGATATGAATTTGGAATTTATATAATAAACAGAACATTTCATGGTCTCTATACGTATTTTATCTTCTCCTAGTTAATTATAATTTCATCATTCGTTCTCTTTGCCTACTCGTCAAATATCAATCGTATACTCGAAGATAATATCGTGTGTCCGCGCGCCCATGATCCCCTCTGTATAMATTACAGAGAAAGTTATTAAAAAGTGGTTTTAAGACAAAGTTATGGAAGGAAAAATGCTCTAACTATTATATTGGCCCTGAAGCACCACTCCATCAAATATGGACGCTTGAGCAAAGGGTTTTATATCATGTTAAAAGGATTAAGGGCATACAAAGCAGCCAAGATTCCTAGTAATAATGACCTTTTGAAATGTCCTTTAGGGGACCGAGGACCTAATACTCAGTGATGAAAACACAAAGAAAGCAGATGTGCTTCTACTTACAAAACCAAAATTTCAATATTGTGCTTGCACAGCTTTGTACAGATAAAATGTGTAAAGAAATGAATGTAAATAAGGACAAAAATTAAACTGCCAAGACTTCCCCAAAGCGGAAAACCACGTCAACGTATATATGCTCGGCTCATAAACCGTGACATAAATTCATTTATTTGGGATTCAATATGTACATAAAGCAAGGATAATGACACCGTTTTAACGGGAAAGGTTATAGTTTTTCAATAACGCTCTACCAATAAAGTGACAAAGGTTCAAAAATAACAAGAACAGATTAAAAAATTGAAAAAAGGACTATTTGCGCGCATAATAATGACACAGAATGTCAGGAAAAGACGTGAAAATGTCATTTTTTTAAAAGACAAAATCCATCGGATAATCAGGGTAGAGACGAAAAAATCACCAATTTGTACGAAAATGATAATAAAATGTCAAAAAAWATGATTAGGTCGGAGAGGGTTGTGTTCTTGAGGTGGAAAATCACAGACAACTGTAAAAAATAAAACAGTATTTGATTTTTTGCTTTTCTGTGCTATCAGGAGTTTGTTGAACACAAGCTGAAGAAGCTGTCAATAAAAGGACAAAGCAGTCATCCAGAATTCAGCAAATGACTTCTGAATGACAATAACACGGAAGTACGACATTTTAATCGATTTGGAAGAACTTGAAATCCAAAATCCATTTCCGCATTTGAGTGAAATTGAAAAAAAAAAGTGTTTTTGTGATATGGAATATTGAGAGATTGACATGTGGTAGCACATTCACAGATCTGAATAAGAACGATATTTTAGAAATAAACTTACAGTCATTCATGTTGCATAGTAATAAATACGATAAAATAATGTATATAGATATGAAGGTAAAAACAACGCTATGCATTTTTTTAACTGACAGGACGTTTGCCAACAAAGGACTGATATGAAGGTTTATGTCAGTAGCAACTGTTTTAAAGTTAAAACATTTTACAACGAGAAAAGACATTTTTACGCCCTTTTGTTCTAATCTGAGGTATTTAGCAGTAGACACACATGCTGTAAGAAGACTAAAATTAATCCCTTGATATAGTTCAGATAAGTTAGTTATTTCTATCTAAATATTACAAGTCTTGCCTACAAGATTTTGTATCCTTACTCTAGCTATAAATGCATTAACTTATAGGGGGATTTAATTTCACAACACTCAAGTGCATTTTACAATGTCGCTTTCTATTCTTTGAAGATTGAATACTTTGATTCACAAATCGAAGGGAAGTCAATAAAACACGAATTTCTATTTGTTTTTCAAGATTAAAAACAAGAAATAATACCGGTCTTGGTAATATATGACAATACACTCTTAAGAATGTCTGACAAAGACGCCTATCTAGTTTCGGCATGAGTAGGGGGCCAAACTTAAAGGATATCTCGATGGGATGTATGCTTTTAAGGCGGTTAAATCAAATACTGTCTACAATTCAAATTAGAGCAAGGAAATAGTCGGCTGTTTTCAACACACAAAAACAGCGGTTGTTTTTTCAAGAAAGGTTTGATAGTTGTCACACTCACTGCTTGATACTGACTTAAACCTCATCATTGTCATGTTTGCCGAAAAGACATTACGCACCAGTCAAACACAATAAACACTGAACGTAAAATCAAGCGTCGGTCGTTTCGGAGATAAAGCAATTGAAATTTAAATACATTTGAGGATTACCACGAGATCTTTAAGGAATAAGGAACCTATTAGCTCTATATGTCTTCCGGTTTACGACTTTTAAAGCAATTTGAAGCTTTTATCTCTTGTTTTTCGCTTCCAAAAGTATCTAGGACAGGCTCACGTCTCCTAGGGAACAGATCTGGTGCGGAACAATCCCAGGGAAATGACGATTATACCAAGAAAATTAAACAAAACACTTTTACCGGTCGAATAAACACCACACAACGCAACTATCGACTTCAAAAGAAACTAAATGAGATTTTGGGGACGAATTAAGAGCAAACATAATTTYCAAAAGTCATTAAAGGCGAAGACTGTTAAGATACGTTTAATATTTCCTTCGGATTATTTTAATTTCGAGACAATCAAAAACAACTACTACTTAAAAATGACCTCTTCCTACTAAATATCTTATGTAACATAACACAGATACATTAAGGTTCGTGCTTGACTTCTTCTGCCTGGCAGATTAACTGCGTTTTCATCTTGCGCGAATCTATCCAGGTGTGCGTTGCGGCCACACACGTCTGTGTTTATAAGAGGCTTGTGATTCGTATTTCAAACATGCGTGTGATATTTGTCCGTGTGATATTTTCCTACACGAATCATATATCTACTAGCTTTCTCGGTTAATATATACGCAGAAATAAGTAGATTTTCAGCAATTTGTAATATGGCCTAAGAATATACAAAAGCAGAATAAAACTTTATCAAAATAGAATTGAATTAAAGTTTTGATTATGTAAAAACATAAAACATCACACACGAATGATAAACCTTTAATAAGAGAGACATACATACACCAGCTTTTTGGCGGGAATTAACGCGCGCGCGCGTGCATTGTCACGTGGGTCGGGGGAAAAACGTTAATTACTTTCTTACTGTCAAYCTATCCAGACAATATTTCATTATACGCACGATTAGATATACCAAGCAGCCGTTCTAGGCATACGATCCATAGGTGCCCTTAAARTTGTTATATTAYYAAGTCACTACATAAGATAGATTTAATATTGGATGAACAAGATAAAAATGACATTTTAGACAGCTATATAGTAGATGGTTTTTGCCTTGTCAAGGGCAAATCTATACACCRAAAAACTAACGCTGAAGGAAAATAAACGAAAGAAAAAAATGAAGAAGGAGTATTAAAGAGTGGAGATAGCAGTGAAATAAAGAACAGCATAAATAAATGAGATGGAAAAAGAAAAAAAGAAGAGACTAAGAGAAAAGATGATGTCGACGGAGAAAAGACTTGACTGACAGAAAAGAAGAAAGAGGGAAAGACGAGAGCAAGAGTAACAAACATCACACTTCAACTCTGAGAAAAAATGCACATGCTGCCTCTCAAGTACTGTACAAGTAGAAAGCGTTTCGAGATGCACACAGATAGAAACAAACTCCATTAAATAAATGTACTAATCCGGAAACAAACGATCTTGAAAATGAGCGAGAGACTTAACAATGTGTGGGGTTAATTGCCCTACGATATTCGTGATTCGATCYTGTTCTCTCACAATAAACTCATTACAATGTCCACTCTTATGGTAGGTWGYGTCTTGACTCAAAGCCGTTYACTTTTCGTTTTAGTTTCTATGCTAACTCTCTTTTCTATMCATTTGYTAACGAACTGCTTAAACAAGGTGTTCGGTTAACAGTTTAACATGGTTAAAAACATATTTTTSGGGTGACGCCCTTCCCTTTTAGTGTTGTTATATTTAAACTGGTAATTCTCATCAAAGCCTTAGTATTTCTTACTAATGGAACAATTGGAAATAAGCACTTTTAATCTTTAAAATCCTTGTAATTTGATCAGCTTTTTACAACTGATCAAGCGTCTAAGTCGCTTCAGATGAAAGAAACGCTGCCTTTTATTAAAGGTTATCCCGATTCTCCATAACATTAAATTGTTTTTGTCATTCATGTTTAATATRTTCTTCACTTTCATTTCGTAAAAGTGTAAAAATACTTTGKTAYACGGAACACTTTGATGTCTATTTTTATAAAAATCAGGGTGCACTCAGGATGAGAAAAGAGCGCCCTCAAAATCTAATTTCACTTCAAGAGTATTTATACGTGGAAAAGAGACTAAACATTTCTCCATTAGACAAGGTCGAACGATTTTATTTTATCCGGATAATGAATAATTAAAATATTATCGAAAGTAAGCACATAGAATATAATCATTCCAAGAATCAAAAGGTGGAATTGATACTTCATTAATCATAGTGATAAATATGCATCATGATGAGAAATATGAGAAATAAAGCAATCATATACAAGAATTCCTACAAAAATGCCTACAGATACAAAACCTGAGTTGAAGATATTGCCACAGCGACATACTACTACCGAAGAAAGAATTTTTCTACAAAAAGAAAGCTACCTTATTGAATAAAACATAGAAAACGGTGTTGTTTATTTRKGCAACAGTATTATTCAACCCGAAGGAAAATCA